TTTTGATTTGCCTTTCCTTTTCTCTCTCTCTTCTTCTTTTTTTTTTTAGGTAGGTGACATGATTAGAAGTTAGATAGGAAAGAGAGAAAAAGTTGTTTAACAAAGGGTGACATGATTAAAAGCTAGAATAAGTGATAGAAATAAGAGAAGGGGGAATATTGGTACATACGTTTATATATAACAAAATGAAAGTAATAACAAGAGAAAATGTGGAAGGATTGAAAAATGATCAACTGTAACCTAATATAAATGCGTATTATTATTAGAAATACATAAGTTGATTGAATGCAATCATTATGATGATCTTTATTAGGTTTATTTGCATTAGAATATATGACACTCAGGTGCCACACTGTTGACGCACTGATTTGAGATATTTATAAAAAAAATTAAAAAAAAAAACCTGGGGGAAATAGTTCCACACTAGCCCTGATGATGTTACTAGTTTGGGTAATGAAACGTCTGCAAGAAAACAATCAAGCACAGAGGGCGCCAAGGCCCCCCCAATTCCACCCAGCTAGCCTTGGGTGGTAGAGGCTTGTAATTTATTTACCCAGCTGGCCTGTCCCAGAAGAGAGGGAGGGGACTGCCATCTAGCCCAGGGTCCAAAATTGAGCTGCTACCTGCACCTTACCCGCCTGAGGTCAATCACATCCTGCAGCATGAACCGGATCCGCGAGGACGTTTTCTTCTCCTTGATTATTTTCTCCATCTGGTTGAAGTACTGATCCATTCGAGGCTAAAGAGCAAGAAATGGAAGTGTGCTTGCTTATTTGGTGCGGGACAAAAAGAAACGAATAGGGACAACATGCTAGAAACAGTACAGGCTGTTCTTGAGTTACAACGGTTCCTTTAACGACCATTCTAAGTTACAACAGCACTGAAAACAATAATTAGAAAGGATTATTATAAAATATGGAATAGAATGTATAAGTGGCTAGAAAACAGAAGCCAAAACAGGAAATTGAAGGGTGGTTTTTTTTTGCTTTTTCTAAACAAGTATTGAATAAAAATTAACCAAAGTTACTAATTACTATCAAACTTAAAGTATCGACTGTAATGTAAATATAATGGTGATATGAACAATTATTGTTACAACTGTGAGCACAACTGTTATTACACTATTACAGATGTTAAAACCGATAGGAAGGCAATGGAGGATAGAGAACTGTTCTGACTCCACTCTGCTTACACCAAAGCACGCCGAGAAAAAGATACTTCAAGGATTTATTAACACACAGACTAGACCTTGGTAGCAATCCAGCACAGATTAGACGTTGGCAGCAATTCAGCACAGACTAACCTTGGCAGCAATCCAGCCTGCCAAGCTAGCCACGATAGTTTCTCCAGCTCTAATAAATACGTTGATTCCTNAGGGAGGGAGGATTCTGATGGACATCCGAGGAAAAGGAAGTGAGGGACAGACCTTTTCCAACACCACGTCGCTGATTTGGGGTAATCCTTCCGGCTTTTGCATGCTGGCAAACATGAACTGAAACCCCAGCAGGAATTCCCGGTCGTATCTCTTCTTTTCTTCGGGGTTCAAGGGCTTCCACTGCTCTGTTAAAGGAAATAAGAGCACAAAGGCTGAAACCGGAGCATCCTTCAAGTAGGTCATACATACAGGAGTGGCGGCCCTGAACATGTCGGGCAGCAGGGATCTGTAGAGGGAGGTTTTTTTCCCGCAGACCGGAGGGGGGCGTGGTTTCGTGTGCTGCCTGCATCTCGCAGACGGTGCTTCGCTTGTTTGCATGGCCAATGTTTTTCAATTATGACCACTTTAAAATCTGTGGACTCCAAACTCCCAGAATTCCCCAGCCAGCTATGCCATGACAGTGAATGGCGCTCTGCACGGCTGGAGGGGAGCGGGGGTTGGGCGAGCGGCTGTTCCGCTCTCGCTCACACGCCTCCCAACCTCACGATGCCCTTGCCCAACTCTCTCCGCAGAAGCAGGGCACCTCCGCTGCTGCCACATGGCTTTTTCTGCGGCTTCCAAACCGAGTCTTCCGGCAGTGGCTGCTCTGGGCGCACGCTCTATGGTTGTGGGCCAGCTGCTGGCACAGCGTACAACCATAGAGCATACCTTATCTCGTTTGGCGAGCTGCCAAAGTAATAGTTCCAAACCGCAGGGCAAGGCAACACTTGGCACAGAATCTCTTATAGTTACAAACAGAACTTTTCTCTCTTGAACGTGACGGAATTAACTGATTGTTTCCTGCAAAAGCCCCCTCCCCAATCACTCGTCTTTTGTTTCCCAAAGGAGGGGCCAATCACCTCCAAGGCATGGCTTTACTCCCACGTCGGCCCTGCTTTCTTAGTTGTTCTTATCTTCTAACAGCTCTGCGCATGCGCACACTGGGAACAGGCTCCAGCTGTTCTTCTGCCTTGCTGCTGCCTAGCTCCATCTCTGCAGAGCCCTTGTCTGAGCTTTCCCCAACCCTCAGGACTGGCCCATGCTCCTCCCCAAACCTCCTCACTGTCTGACTCTGCTGCCAACTCCGTTGGCTGCTGGTGGGCCACCACAACACCATGGCTGTAATCTAAGAAAAGCCAACCACTCCTTGGGTAATGAGTCTGCTCAGATCCTCAGTTCCATCAGAGTTATCAGTGGCCCAGACACGATGGCTCAAAAGGGAGGTCATCACAGAAGACTCAATGGGAAGCCCCCCCCCCCTCCCCACCTTTCCTAAATTGTAAGTGCTGCTCAGACCTGGCTCACCTTCCTTGTAGCGGTACTTTTGATCCGCTTGCTTCAGCTTCTCGGGATCCATCTTGTCCTCCTTCTGTTCCCAGGTCTCCTCGGCTTCCTCCTGGGAGCGAACTGGGGCAGGTTCCTCAGGCTCTGGGGCTGGGACTGGGGGGTTGTTCTCGGTCTCAGAGCCCCCCTCGCTGACCTAAGAGGGGTAAAGCCAAAGAGATCCTAAGAACTAGGTGACAACGAACGCCTTTCTCTGCAGGAGGAGGAGGAGGCGTATTCATCTGTCATCTCTAAGCTCAAAAGGAAATTGGTGCGTTCTTCAACAGCAACACAATGACAACTGAAGCCCACAAGATTCACAGGCAATTCAGGACTTGAAAAGTGCTGTGATATAGATAGACAGACAGACAGACAGACAGATATAGAAATAGATAGATAGATAGATAGATAGATAGATAGATAGATAGATAGATAGATAGATAGATAGATA